AGGTTTGCAAGGACCTCTTAGACAATGAATAATGAACTTACAATGTTTTGTATTACATGGGCGTGCAACTTTCGTAAAAGTTAAATATTAATCGCAATATGCGTCGTCGCGTTGATTTCTTTTGAATCCGTAGAGGTGTCTTCCAGTGATTCCAATGTGTTGTCCATGTCACACATTTTTTATCACATGTTAAATGCAGTGAAATTACAAGGAATAATTAGCACGTAGACTCATAATTTCTTAATAATAAAAATGGAATAATTGACTCATCTACATTAAGTAGGTACAAATTAGAATTGCCTTGCTTGACTATCCAATTGCATTAAGTAGGTATAATCGTAATATGATAATTACCGCGTATAATCATAATTATTAGAATGTAATAGGTATCATAAATCTATGAATAAAGATATTAAACCCCAACCGAAACCCCAAAGTCTGCCTAAATGGTGCGCTACTGGAATATAGCAACCGGCGCACTCCCACACTGCACCGATATTATCTATAAGGCAGAGTGAATTAACAGACAAGGTGTTTTCACCATTGTTTGAAGCCGCGTAGATGAACCAAAAGGCCGAATTAAAGAAGTTAATGCAGACTTTCACGACCATGATTGATTCGAGTCAATAAGTCATTCCAATTCCACTGAAGCTAAACAAATGTTTTTTTAGATTGCCCGATTATGAGTAGGTATGTTCTTATAAACGGAAAGCTCAACAAATTATCTAAACGAGTATACCAAAGGCATGTTGGAAAGTACTCGTTGTGCGACGGATCGAGGTTTTATTAGCGCTGAAACATCTGCATGCGAAGAATTGTGACACAAAGCTAATACTTCAAACCCGAGCATTATACGATTAAATTCCTTAAATTCCAAAAGGATTGCTTTATACAAATTTTACTAACACCTGAAATGAACTTTGGGTACCTACGGATCAACAAAATTAATCATGACGAATAAAACGAAACTTAACGCAGGGCTCGCGTCTTCTAGGCTGTCAACGAACAGCAACGCTGCCTCGAAATTGGCAAAAGGTCCTACGCCAACTCCAGTATTTAACTTGTCTTCCCTACTTCCAAAATTCGAAAGGAACTTCATCCAATTAACGGGATGTAGCAAACATGACAATCAATCAACACTCCGTTTCTTGACGCTCCTATAGTCACATAAGTATCAAAATTGTACGCAGAATTATCTTATGTCTGATCAATTTTCTATGAAAACACGCATGTTTTATAAAAATAATCAAAGTACCAATAAATTAAATCAGAACTGTCACATAACTGATTTAACAAAGAGAAATTGATAACGAAAATATGCGATAAATTGCCCTACATTTAACAATTTTAGGAAATAATCTTTTACAACGAAAAAAAAACAAACCACTTGGAAACAAATAGAAACACAGTACTCGCTTTGTGTTTACACGTAAAACCCAAGCACACTAATTAAATAAATGGATACGAAAATTTTGACCAGTCATTAACTTCAGGCAGCTGGATCAAACCTCAACAACGTACACGTCGATAATGTTTACATAGCAATATTTTTACAAAAAACACGAAAAAACATAAAATAAGCAAAAACATTTCATAAACCACACAAATAAAGGAAATGTAAAAACTGATAACACGAACCACATACATGCAGTTACATTTCTATTGGTCTGCAAATGGGAAGTGGACAAATTTCCGCAAAATCCCCCTTTACAGAGTCCTATGTCGGTCTTAAATAGTGTCCCCCTAGTGACTCCATCCATTTTTTGAAAAATTTCGAATACCCTTCCTAGTTTCAATCGCCGGGTCTTCGGGATCAGTTAATTCTGACTTTCCTCAAATCAAAAATCGCATAGCGATGAAGGGGTCCGAGAAATGTGCCGAAAATTGAGAACGCATTCGAGCTACACTAGTAATGTATACAATTGCTCAAAAGGGTAATGGAGCGTTTTCCGCTATTAGCACTGAATGTCGTTTAGTGGATTTCACACTGGATTCTCATAAACTACCACAATGTGGAAAATGAAGATCTCATTTAATTCAATGACCCAAAAATTCTTCTGTTATCGCATTTTTAGCTTTATTCATAATTTAGCACCCATAAAATAATGCAAAAATAAAGTAATGATTTGGTCAACAAATCCATCGCGACTCCTAAGCATATGGTGATTTACAACAACCTTTAGTCAAGCGCCGTACCTGGTGAGATTGACAGGGTCCTCAGAGCCGCCTGCATACGTATGTACGTTTTTTGCGTTAACCTCTACGGAGGTTCTCCTATGGACAAGTCATAATGGCTACCATCTATGCCTGAAGCACGTTAGTGACCCATATGTATATATCTCACGGACCGGTCAGGTTTGAGGAACAGACGATCTGAGTTCAGCGACTGCTCCCTGACCGGTAAGTGCCTTTATAACTTTTTGGCCTTAGTGAGATAACCCGTACTACTCTACCTCCTTGTATGGAGGTGATCGGATCTGCTTCCTGTATAATTTTTTTTAACAATATTGTCACATATAGGGCAAGGTCTACACTTAGGAACGTAGCTCCAAGCAGAATTCCCTATCAATATAGGATTAATATTGACGTACCCAAATCTTTCCTTGAGCTCTACGAAAGCGATTTCATAATAATGGAAATAGACTGGAGTAGCGATACTCTAATTCTTAATAAAGTGACGTTACCATTCAAAAACGATTCAGTCTAATCATGTGGTCACTTTTGTGGTCTAAATAATCCACTGAAAGTCGTATGAAATTGGAAATAACCCCGGGAATAACCCCTATGTCTAAATTTTGAGAAATTTATTTGCATTAGTTTTACAGGATATGAATATATCAAATTGTTGGACACCCTGTATTGCGCTTCATCACTAAATGGGAAAAGCGTACTGTTTTATCAGAATCATGGAGGAAGTGGTAGCAGAATTGAGAGCCAGCCTTGTTTTTGAAACATCGAATGTGTGTTGCTACTTTTCCAATTGCAAAGACAAAAGTTCCATGCTTCTAGATGAATGTTTGAACGCAATATTAGTCTACGAACTGTTCTGATTCTGATCTTAACCTACCCCCAGGTTCCGGTCTAACGTAACAGATTTTAAGGCAAAGTGACAACGTTGGAATCCCAGTATCAAAACACACTTCCCCCTTAAATTTCAAAACAAAAGAAAAATTTATGCAGAATATTCGTCACAACATATTATGGGATTTCTTTAATCGCGGCTAGAAGAGGTAACGCATTTTTAAGTTTATCAACATTTAAGATCGTTAGGGGCAACACATTCATGCATTTAACGATATAAGTCACCTTACTAATTATTTATGTATTTGTATATCGAATATAGTAATGTGAAGTTTGTAAAAACATGTATGCTCTAATATTTATGTTGTGACGAAACAATGGACAGTTATGATAATACACAGTGTGCTTGTGGAGCCCTCAATTAATCTCAGTTTCCACATAATGGCATTGGTATAAAGCTCAGACCTCCGTAACTACTACCGGTGCCTCGTAACACTCCGCTGACATTGATCACGTGAAGATACTCAACTGAAGAAGGTTACAAAATGGGTCGCCGCCCATAAGTATGGTGGTCCTAGGTTACGGATTCTACGCCACTGAAGTTGACTGTTCGAGGGCTCCGGATCTTTTAGTGCCTTAGCTCTAAAATGCATTTCTATTCTACGACTGCGCTCTGTCTCAAGGTAGGAAGATATCAGTTAGATACAACAAGGCACACACATTCGTGAATGTTACGAGTCACCCTAACCTAAATCAAAAATGCCCTGCTCTACATCACGGAAGCCAAAGTTTCACACATGCGCAATGTGTAACTGAATTAAACGTGGTATAAACCTAAGGCATCGCGGCCTTCCACAAGCATATGGACATTAGTTAACAATTAGCATCTTGTGGATTACATATTATCACATGTTAGATGAAAAATACACAATTGATACAGGTACATACTAGTAAACAGATGAACTAAATAAAATACTTTACCCGATATAAAAGTAAATGAATATAACTTCAACACAAAAGCAAAATAAATTAAACAAATATAGCAATCGAGTTCCTGGGTATGGCTATAGCATGTGCAACACCAAATTTTAAACCTGATGTTAGTTTTGCTTTTATTTAAAGTGTATATGTATGAAATTTCATTTGAATGCCTCCATAAATAAGCTGCGCATGCGCAAAACCAAATTTTGAAACTGATGTTAAATTTTCTTTTATTCCAAGTGGCTATGTACCAAATTTCATTTAAATCCCCCTATAAATCAGAAAGTTGGCACTGCGCATGCGTAAAACGAAATTTTGAAACTGGCGTAAAATTTGGTTTTATTCCAAGTGCCTATGTACCTATCAAATTTTATTTAATTGCCTCCATAAATAAGGAAGTTGGCACTTCGCATGCGCAAAGCCAAATTTTGAAACTGGCGTTAAATTGGCTTTTATTCCAGGTGGATATGTATCAAATTTCGTTTAAATACCTTCATAAATAAGAAAGTTTGCAATTCGGTCTGTAAATGGTCGAGATGTGCAAAGGGCACTGTGAATGCTGATCGATTAGGTTCAACTGTTGGAATTGTGTTTTATATGGCTGCGCATATTGAATTTCATGCAATTCGGTTCATAACTAACGGAGATGTCAAAAGGGCCTACTTTATTTTTTGGGCTACATTGCCAATTCACGAACTCCAATCTACAAATTTGATAAAGAATCCACCTGCAAAATTTCATCGTAATCGGTCCATTCGTTTATGAGTTATCGTGCTAACGGACGGACGGACGGACGGACAGACACAACAAAATTATAAACTCGCTAGGAGCTCGTTAATAAAAACTACTTGTCTGGCTGCATCCGATGATGAAATAATATTCAACGTATTTGAAGGGATATGAACATCTCAAAACTTGGGATCATAAAACCTTTTTTCTGCCTCTCGGGGGTAGTAGATGCAAGAACCAATATTGAACGGCTTTTCGTATACAACAATAAAGCCCGTAAAATATGACATAATTTCGTTTCAGGAGCTTTAATATCGAATAGCATTGTCATGCTCCGTCCATTCTATCTGTACACTGCGTATACCATATCGCGAGAATTGTCATCTTTGACCCGTTTGCACAGGTCCGACATCATTCATATTAATATGTTTGTGTTATAATCTACTTTGCATAATATATCAAACACTACTCTGAATATTATGTACCTATGGGAAACTTTTCGCAGTTGTAGAAATTGGCTCAGTTCTCAAAGTTATGTCCCACCAATAACTTGGAGAACAGAAAATGATTCAGTTATTAGCGCCTAATTTATAGTCTCCTTGGAAATGATAAAGAGCCATGGACTGTTTAGTTTCTCAATGCCAAGGTTGAAAAAACTTAGTGTTCGGGCATTTGTTTATTGGTACGAAACCATACTTCAATTTAACTTGTCTCACGTTCAGAGATAAGGTCACAGTATGTACTTGACGTTTTGTAGAAAAACTATTTTATTTGCCAAATAATGTAAATTAAGTTCCCATGGGAATTCAAGTAGGTACTTAAAAAATGTACACAAGTGCCCAGAATTATTAAAAAATCTGGTCGTGTAGTACACGAGGTTAGCTATCCTATAGAATCCTAATATCACTTCCACCCAACCACGTATCCATGTGTTATTGAAAATAATTAATTAATTTTGTTTTAGATTAATAGCACCACATCGAGAGCCACAAAGACTGAAGTATGCGCGCAATTAACATGTGGAACAAAATTTTACTAACTTTCGGTGTAACTTTGATAGTAGTCGGGTTGGTGCTCTTATTTTGCTTTTCGAGTCTAGTCACGTTAATTCTAAATAATTCCTTAACATTAAGTGCAAATAGTAAAGCGTTCGAAGAATGGCGAAAAACGCGACCGATACCTATGGACATGTACTTCTTTAACTGGACTAATCCGGACGATATTTATAATCCAGACATTAAACCAAACTTTGAGGAAGTGGGACCGTACAAGTTATTTCACGTACGTGAGAAAGTGAATATTACGTGGAACGATAATGATACTGTCACCTACAAACATTTGTTAAGTTATTACTACGACGATAACTCACCTAGTAATCTGTCGGATGTTATAACCACAATCGATATGGTTGCGTTGGTAAGTATATGATATTTATCTACGTGCCTTTTCATGTTGCTCATTTACAGTCAATGGCACAAAGGACCAAGGATTCGTTTTTCTTCGTTAAAAACCCAGTCAAGCTGGCTTTGATGTTTTCCAACATTTATGTCCGGAAGACTGCTAGGGAGCTTATGTCGGGCTACGAAACGAGTATTATGGCGGCAGCAAACGCGTTGAATTTTGTAACTGGAGAAAATGCGCCTGATAAATTTGGATATTTGTATGCAGTAAGTACCTTTATTAACTTTAGACGATTGTACAAATGCTATACTTTGTACTTCATTCGCCGACTAACGTTCCCGTAACTGCAAGAATAAGAATTACGGGTACCTAAATTAACGCTCTAAAAGTTGATTACACTTTTCCTTGGGAGAAAAGATACGTTGTCGGTTAATTTCAAGTGTAGCTAAGTACTAGTACCAACTTAAAACTCGAAATAACAAAAAGAGCTGCTACCTACCGACATACTCATCTCTTTAAGAGCATACCAAAATACACAAACAAACAATAAATTGGTCAAATACGTTAGTAGTTCTGGAAAATCTTACCCTCAAATAGGACACAGTAATATATAGATCTGCAATGTCAATATTTAAATTGAATTGCGCGGCACACAAAATGTACTAACATCTGACAAGGCAATCGGATATTAAACTGTAATTAATACTCAATAAGAATCAATAATTCGAATGACTACACTAGCAAAGGCAAAATTTTGAATGACCCGGATTATCCTTACATTACTTATAAAAACGTCGAAATAGGTAGTAATGTTGATATCACGTGATCAATTTCACTGGGATCGGCCTGTAAGGTAGAAACTCATCTGTAGCGTACGTTCGTCCCTGTTAATCTTGTTGAAATGGCGATGGAACTCCCCAAATGAATTTTTCTTGTGCAATGTTAAGAAAATACAAAATTTTGCGGTTTCCACTCAAGGATATCGATGTAGAAGGCTACAATCAAGGATGAAATAATAAAGAAAAGCGTAAACCAGAAGTAAGAAGACTAAAAAATAGTTATTCGAAATCAAAAGGTAATGCGTAACGTCCTTAGAACTAATAAAATATATCCGCAAATGTGCCAGCGAATTGTCAAATGCAAAATAACAAGAGAAAAACTTACCTAAACGTATATACAACACCAATAAATCCCAAAAGGCAGACAAAATTGTGAAACAACTATAATGGCGTGTATGTTCTTCTACAAGTAGTTCAATAGTTGTCAAGATAACGGTCTCCCGTAACTGTTTAACCAGGTTTTAGTAGCTCATACCAAATGATACCGAGCCGATCCCAGAAGGCTTTGAGCATTATCTTCTTTCCGAAGCGATTTGACGTTACGGTCGTTTGGGCCGGGTAGCCATATGATCTTTTTCGCTTAGCATTCTCGAAATAAATCCACTTTTCATCACCTGTCACTATTCGATGCCAAAAAAGAGCCTCTTTTGTACCTGGCGAGCAGCATTTCACACGTGGTTCTTGGATGTGCAACCCATCTTCCGATCTTCAGGTTCTTTCCCATGGAATTTATAAGAGATCATTTCTTACGATATATATATTTCAACCATTCAATATAGCGAACAAATTTCAAATTAATTTTCTTAAGATAAGAAAATGAACATTGTTATTATTACTATTAGTTCCCCAGCACCATACGCACTTTATTTCATCGCTAGTTTTCCCATTCTTTCTTGAATTTCACTATCTATCGGCAAATTCACGTTGATTTGCGTCACTTCATCGTTAATCATCAGTGTAGCCAATTTTCGATTGGTAACAAATACTTCCAAGTCTAACTTTAATACGTTGAACTAACGTTTCCAGTCTCCTCTTCCTATCTTCTCGAGATAAAAAACTGTCTAATCTCTTCTTCTCGAGATGAAATCCGTCCAATCATTCCACCTCGAGATATGCGTCCTACGTGTACGTGGCTCATATTTAGTAGTGATGATGAAACTTTACATAATGAATTCAAAGCTTCACAAAGGAACATTTTATAATGAATCTTAAACCTCAGCATGGTAATCAATTGGAGGGGGACAGGTGAGAGACTCTTGGAAAGGAAATATGAAACCAAAAAATTAACCTTGAAAATGAAATACTACACCAATAAAAAATTGACCTTGAAATGAAATACTACACCACAAAAAGTGATTTAGAAAATGAAATATGACACTTGCCCTTCGAAATGAAATATGACACAAAAAAGTTAACCTTGAGTATGAAATATGACACCCCAAAAAAAAAGAGAACAGGATTTACATCTTGGGGTGGGGTGGGGGGGGGGCAGTGGCCATTATCCTTGATCTACTTTCTAAGGTCACCGCCACGTGGCAGGCGACCTTTGAACCTCACCTTGACCTACTTTCCAAGGTCACCACCAGGTGGCTGGTCCAAAGCCGGCCCTACTACCCTACTCAATTGATTGTCGTATGTAAAAGTTATGCATGTTTTACTTGCAAAAACAGCATCTCAGGAAGTAATTCGTGGGGGGGAGGGGGGCTTTTAGATAGCGAAATTTAATGGCCGTTTGGCATACCTTCAAGGTATAGTCTACGTACTGCAAAAAATTCCAGGACTCTAGAACGATTCCCCTAGAAGTAGTTCAAAATGGCCCGACGGACGGACGGAGGGACGGACAAAACGCAAACAATAGCACATTTTTTTTAGTTCTTAAAAAATGCGCTAAAAATGCGTTGTGTGAAACTTGAATTTTTGTGAATGGGGGTTTACAGTATAGTTGAATTCCGCAGTTCTAATTTAATAAGCCTGCACCTGAAACCATAAAACATTTTTTTGGACAGTAAAAGTTTATTTAAAAATAGAGGCTGATTAGCAAAAAAATAATGAACTAGTGCGGTTTTAAAGGTTTATTCAAAACGATATGATTGTGGCGGGCTCTGTGACGTAATAAGCCCGACCAATCAGCTCCTAGAACCATTCAGATGACATAACGACTTGGCAATATTGCAGGAGAATGGCATTTATAACTTGCGTCATCTGTCACACGCACTTGTCACTTTCGTGCTAGATGCAGTTAAACATCCCTCTCAAAACGTCAAATGTGACAAACGTCAGACCCTCGCGTAAGGTTGCCAGCTCACTTCTACGTGATTGGTTGTAGGTTTGTGGCGTATTTAGTCTGAAGCGTTTCAAATTCGGACTAAAAACACAGCTTTTCAATAATTTATTTTGGGTTTATTTTACTCGCAATTAAAAATTGAGGACACACGGATCTTTTTATTTTTAATGTACTTTGTGGATCAGAAATAAAAAATGAAGGCGGGATGACCCCATTGGATATTGTTGCCAAATTTCAAAATAATGATAAAATTACCTTCATGTGAAATCGAAGGGACTTCAGCACATTTTTGTGTGGCAGATCAGTATTCTAGTAGCCAGTGTTGACTCCACCATCAGTCAGATCTTGTTGAAGGCTTCCACATTCACTTTGTGGGTACCCGCTTCCAACGTCCCGTACACGTAATTCGCGTTTTAGATGTTGTCCCCGCCATCAGTAAAATCTCGTCTGAGGTTGTCATCTTCCCTTTGTCGGTACCCACTTCCGGCGCCCCGTTCACCCGCAATTCGCGTTTGAAGTTTTGACCCCACCATCAGTAAGATCTTGTTGGGGGCTACCATATTCCCTATGCCAATACTCACTTCTGAAGTTCAGGTCACCCGGAATGGACGGACATAAAATCCAAATCATCAAATATTAAGCAGTTAGTTCCTTGACCATTGTCCATCTATAACTGATAACAGAATTGAGAAATTCGAAATCGTTCGTGAGTTGTCATGTACACAGAATATTACATTGTACACAGACGAGCGGACAGACACAAAGTCCTGGGTCACGGAAAATGTAATTAGTTCCTCCTTGGGTGATGATCAGGGTGTTGATAACCAAATACTTACTGAGGACAGAATTGAAAAATTCGAACCCGTTAGGGAGTTATCTTGTGCGTTAGTACGCACGGACGGACGCACAGAAAGTCCAAAAGTAATTAACTTGATATTGTGGATTTCTTTTTTAAATGTATGTAATTACTACCTTTGAACAGTAAACGTCTGTGCTAAAGCTGAAGTTGATATACACGATTTGACAAGAGATTTGGGGGGTGTTATATAAAGCTTTTTTCTATTTCGATGTGGAAACAATACAGAAACCGTACTTGATTGGCCCAGTTTGCGTGCGTTTCTAGACAGAAATGATGCTGAAAGAAATAGAAACGTATTATTTTTTTTATTTTGTTGGATTGGTACCCCTCGCTTTTCTGCCGTCAACGGTATCCGTCAAATCAAAACTAAACATAACCTGTAAAGTGTACATAACGTACGAGGAACTTGACCGATTGTATTAATTCCGATTAATTTTGAATATATACTCCAAAGGGTAGAACTTTTTTTATTTTTACTTAGCGTAGTAAAATATGCCGCCAGTACATTCTTGCTTACTTTTTGAACTCCCTTCTCGGCTAGCCAGTTTTCAAAAATGTTGTACTCCTCGTACGTTACTTTCGATTTTACAGGCAGTAAATTTAACGTCGCTTCATTGGCAATCTCTTGGATCTCTGGTGGGGTACAAGAGACGTGTTTGTCATCCGTATTCATCATAACTGCCGCAAAATGGAATTATGACCAAATAATTAAAAGTTTGAAGTTTGAAAATACAGGAATCAGGTTAGCCAACGTGAAAATAAATTAACTGTGTCTATTACCAACCTACACTGAATGATAGTTTAAAATTACCTAACAACGCCTAAAGGCAATATTGTATTTATAATTTGTATAATTTATTATTTAAAATAAAGTCGAAATAGAAAAAATAGTATAAAGCACACGTGTCATTTGTCTACTTGTCGCACTCGGCTTTTGCCGCATTCGCCGCTACGCGGCTTATGCGGCAAACTACCTCGTGCGACAATCTTCGTCAAATGACACTTGTACTTTAATATACTATTATCCAATCAAAAGAAAATAACGTGCAGAATTTTCCCGCTTCCCTTGTCTAATTGGGATCAATTTTTATCGTATCGTAAATTTAATTACGTGATTTATTTATATGTACAATTAATATTAATAAAGTTCACAGAAACTAACACTATTAACGAGAAACTAAATTAAAACGGTCTTTAAATAGATTGATTTATAACAGGTAATGATTATTTATCACTTACTTTTATTCACACGTCAATGTATAACACGAGCGCAGATTTCATTACTTCGGCATTGACGTTTAACATTAAAATTATACCTACTTATCCCTGAAAGTTGCAGTTTGTGTATCTGTGGATAGGATCAGAATTGCTAGTGCCAAAACTTCGAGAACGGAGTGCTGCCAGAGAGGGCACGCGATGGGAATAGGAAATTCTTAGGTCTGGTCTCGGGTCTGGTAGAGATGTTGAATGTTGATGTCTGTCAATATGTCATTTTTCAAAATGAAGAATTTCTGCAATGTTTGTTTAAATTTTGCTGTTTATGCGTGATATGGGAAACCAAAACAAGCATTTTTTCCCGATAAACCGAGAGCCCAAAACGTGTCCCTTGATGGATGCTCGCCCCAAAATACTTTCTCTCGACAACCATAACACTTGACGGAGTGGAATTAACAGATTTACAAATCCAAAAATAGTTTTTGAACATACGACAATAAAATTCCAACTGCAGTTTTTGACCAGACTACAAAAATGGTCAGAATTTATTCATCTGATAATTAATCACCCTATTTTTCTACCACTCTTGGCTTGGTATCAAAACAGGTAGCAGAACATGATATAACTCTTAAAACGAAGAAGCAATAAATCCGAACTGTGGTACTAAATCAGGACTTAAGCAAAGAGTAACTAATAATAATATTCTTCGACTTAAGTACGATTTCTTCTCTGTGGATATTGCTGTGTATAATTATTAAATAAAAACATTTTATTCAAAAATCAATGGTATAATCACATACAGCATTATACTATTTCATCTGTGGTATAGGTAATGAACAGTACATATTATATTCGGCAATAATACGTATAATAGTTTGCAGAACGCCCAGGCGAGTTTTACCGCGAACAAATGAAAAATTATTCTTCGTTCCACATACACTACCAAAGACTCAGTTTTAGGCTAACCAAACGATCGGATTCGATGGTACTTACAACGTACGAAATACCGTCGGCGATGATTTTGGCGCATTAAAGAACTGGAATTACAACAACTTCACGCTATTCTACGAAGGCCAGTGCGGAAAAATAAATGGTTCTGCCGGTGAACTCTATCCCCAAAATTTGAAACCCGACCACATCACATTCTTCAGCGCAGATCTCTGTCGTCCACTCGAGTTTACTTTCGAGGAAAACCAGACGGTAGAAGGTATTCCCAGTTATAAGTATTCCGCCAAAGATGCAGTATTTGATAACGGTATGTATTATTTAGGTTTGGAAATATGATTGAGTGAATCCCGATTTTAAACAGGCACGTTAGTTACTCGAAATAAATGCTTTTGCACCGGTAGATGTTTTCCTTCCGGTGTACTGGACAATTCCGCGTGTCGAAGTGGCGTTCCGTTGTTTTCGTCTTTACCACACTTTTACTACGCGGATGAGTTCTACAGAAACAAAATTGATGGAATGAAACCCGATAAGGATAAACACGAGTTCTATTTCACATTTGAACCGGTAAGTGAACACAAAAATTTAAAATCAACTCTAGGGTCGGTTTTCAGAATATCGGCATAGTTACCAGCACAGCAGCCAGGTTACAAGTCAACGTATGGCTAGAACCACTGGAAGACTTTCAGTAAGTGACACCTCTCTTGGCGACTATGGCCTTTTTTGTTACTTACATTTTCAGGTTATACAAAAACGTTCCCGAGCTAATGATCCCAATTTTTTGGACCCAGCAACAGGTTGTCCTGTACGAAGAGCATGTCGCAAATGTCAAACTGTTCCTTATATCGCCAACGATAAGCAAGATCTCTTCACTAGTAATGATTGTTGTGGGATTAGTATGTATAGGTTACGTGTTAGTTATACTTTATTTGAACGAGAGGAGGGTGACAAAAAGTAAATTATGGAAGAATGAAATTGCGCTTAAGTAGAAAATGTGCCTTAGGTATAGTTATATTAACTATTGTAAATAAATTTTATTACGACTGTTATTAACATCCTACGTGATCAGTGTCTCGAAGGTTCGAAATGCAATCGGAAATCCTTCCATTCCATCCTTGGTTTTACCATTTCCGAAGGGTAGTTTGAGACCTCAGGTTAAGGGTGATACGCTGTCTACGGTGAAGGCGGCCGGCGGATCCATCATCTGCGTTGAACGAGATTACTTTTTCTGCCTCTTCTATTTCTTTAGATAAAGGTTTCACTACTGTGAAAATTCAATAATTTAAGTACCTAACTGTTCTATTAATGTAGGGGCTGATTGAAATATCGAGGACCACCATGGGGATCTCGGAAATTGTAAGAGATAGGCAGGGAGGGTAAGCCCAATAAGATGCTAAACTATCTTAGATTTTCGAACTTTATAAAGCACGAGGGAGGTCTAGTTCTAAAAATTGAGCAGTGGTTTTTCGCCTGCCGCTGTGTACAGATGGAGCTTCACTGTTTCTGTGTAATCTGTGCTGTTTGAAATTTGAACCCTACTGAATTTCAATATTTTTCATTGTATTTATACTTAGTGCTTTTGCCTTAGACCTGTAATTTTAATAATCATTTTCTGAAGAAATACTAGAAATAGAAATGAAGATGTTTTTCGATAACCCGAAATTCATTAAGTAGAGGCCCCCCTACAAATATTAGCCCAGGGCCCCCTGAGACCTCGGTCCGCCCCTGATAGTCATTGCAATTATATTTGGTAATAAACATACAGAAAAGTGTAGAAGCCTTTTTTGTAGATCTCATAAAGACATATCTTTTTTTTTGTGTAATTAACATTTTTCACTCTGATGCTTACTTTTAGAAAAATGCAAAAAAAATAAAATAAATGTTTAACTTTTCAATTCAAAGCTTCTCAAAAATAAAGGAACTTGCAAAAAAATTGTAATGAACTTTTTTGTAAAGTTTTTTAAGCCATTTTGGCCAGTGCACGCGAACAAAATTTAAAAAAAATTGTTCAAGCCGTTATGACTCTTTTAAACTTTTGACATCCTCAACAACCATGTAGATGGTTACGGATCAAAACCAAAATAGGACGTTCTCAATTCCCCATACCACCCTATATGCACCCCAAATTCGTCCAAATCGGTTCAGGGGTTTTTTAGTTATCGTGTTCACAAAAAACGAACCACATACACACACATCCACACACAGACGTCAAGCTAAAAATGACTTTTTTATCCTATACAAGGAGAAACTTACATTTTCTCGCCTGTGTGAGGACGCGAAAGAAGACAATTGCACGCATGGAGCGAGAAAATTCAATTTTGTCGGCTAGGCGAGAAAAAATACGCCTTATGTAAGCTAGAAGGCGCGGTTGTAATAAAACTTGAAGGAAGTTATTTCTTTTTAATTAAATAAGAAACATAAAATCGTTAACACTGATTTAATAATTAAATTTAGCCTATGTGCACTTTATTTTACTGAATACAAGAATTCATTTAATTACCGCCTACCTAATTATCCATGTTTCGCGGATTTGAATACTTTCCCAATATCACGTGACCAATTCAAACTTAAGTCATAATCTCCTATTTGCTTTGAATAACGAGCATCTGTGCCAACACATTTAACACCGAGATGTACTTTGCACTGTACCACTTATCCGGAATAAGTAGCATTTTAACATATACCCCGAATTTAAAATGTGTCCAGTGTGACTGTAAGGAATGAATTAATCTATTTATAAAACACATTTTTTTAACATACAAGATCATCAAGGATTTAAAGTGTGCCCATTGCGCTTTCGTCACCAAGCATAAATCCAGTCTTAAAAGCACCTAACATTTGACAAGACATGGATCCTGCCACGGTTTTGACTTTTGAAATGTAACCGGTGTGATTTTGTCCGTGCAAACACACATTCAATTTAATGTAAGTGTATAGGATAAAAAATATTGTGTGCACCACGGCACGAAAGTTGTTTTCCAGGCCTCAGGAAGTGGCCAGCCTCGGCTTCGCCTCGCCTGGCCATATCTTCCTTCACCCCGGAAAACGGCCACTTTCCCGCCTTGGTACACAAAGTACTATTTTGGGGTCTGTGTGCTTGAAAACGTCCAGAAAACGCAATATTGGGATATCGAAAATTTATCACGATTACAATACTTTCCTTTATACATAACTTCGTATGTAGTCGTCGGAAAGTAAAAAACGATATTTTGCAAAATCGTTATTTTTTACCGAAGTTATTAAAAACGATATTTGAAATAAATGACAAATTATCATGGTCACTTTTTTTAACCATCATCAACTTTGTTTTTTTCTTATGGAAGTCATTTTTACTTTTTGTGTCATTTAATAGAGCATTTTTTTCTGATTTCAAGAATGTAAACATCACTAATTTTTAAATATTGTTAAAATATATTATTTTCTGCCGTTCGTAGTTTCATGCATATTTACGAATTGATAGCGCCATATTTGCTATTTATATTTTTGAAATCAGAAAAAACGCTCTATCAAATGACACAAAAAGTAAAAGACTTTCATAAGAAAAAACAAAGTTGATGATGGTTAACCGGAGATGAAACGTCAGACTTAAAATTTATAACTGGCATCTTCTAGCTAGAGAGCAAATGGCCATAATAATGTGTCATTTATTTTGAATTAAATAACGTCTGTAAAAAATAAAAACGATTTTCAAAATTTGGTTTGTTTCAGGATATCTCCGAAAACAGTAAGTGTTTTTTGTTTCCAAAACGGCATTTTATTAAGCATTAAAATACCCAACTTTGCCAAATTTAAACTTTCTACCTGCCTCTTACAGTTTCCGAAATCCCTATGGTGGACCTCAAATTTGAATCAGCCTGTATATAGTAGTAAAAATAAATAATCGTCACTTGTACCTCGAGTTTTTGACTATTGACATTCCCGCATTAGTGCGGAAATTGATCACTTTGCGCACGCGATTTCCGTGTGGGAAAGATTAATTAATTCTTTAACGATTGTAGGAAAAATATCATTTAAACATCTTAACACAAAAAATTGTTTTAATTTTTTAATTCGGCATTAGGTACTTTTATTTTTATTCGAGGTGCCTACATACAAAATTTCATTTATATATCTTAACAAATAAAAAAAAATTTATAATTCATCTGCATAGTTGCTTGAGGTTCAAGGAATATTTACTATATAGGTACTATATTTACAGAAAACTTGCAACTTTTTGGCCCATTAATCTACACAGCTGAAAAAGAAAAGCGACCTTTCTTATATCCGTAAGAACATGTGTTCCAATTTTCAAAGCGATCGGACGGTAGTTATCGTGCACACTGGCAGACCGACAACAGACAGCAATGTAAAATTATAAAAGATCTCGAGGAGGATCGTCAATAATTTTGTCTAACATGCTGCATCCCTCTTTATCACATATCAAAGAACCTACTGCACATATAGATATATCAAGATTCAAGATGTTGACGCAGTTATTGCCATTGGCTCATTTTCTTTCCCATTTTCTGAAGGAACTAACGGTTCTGGATGTGGAGCTTCGGCTTGCTGTAGAAATTCCGACATTTTCAGCTTCCGCGATCGTTTCTCACCGCTTTCCCGAACCCGTTTTGCAGTGAACGAGGTAGTGAACTTATCGACGTGATCCGAAAATATGTGCGGCACAATATTTGGCTTCATTCTCGCACTTACTTTGCTCAATGTATATTCTATGTAATTTTCCATATCCTCCTTTAACTGAAAAACGTTCACTTATAATTTACGTTCAACATTCAATAAAATGTAATTGTAGCTTACATCAAAATGGTCTTCGCAACAATACATAGTAGACTTTTTCGATACTTCCGAAATGTTCCGTCTTGCTGCCGCAAACCATTTTTGTCGCCTCTTAATATCTTTTGGAACAGATACAAATATTTTATTAGGTGTTATACAAGACGTATTTTTACACACGGGCACGAAACACCACTTGCGACTCGGCATATTTGTTTCGAAGGCAAACACAGACTGAAACTGAGACCCTTAGCAACAGCGGCGCAGGATCAGGTAGCTGACGTCACAACGCTAGCCTTGTCCCGAGGTACCGCTTTCTAGCCTCTTTCAAATCACGAAATTGTTTTGCCGATTATTCTCCGAATTAAATTTATTCAATTTGTGTGTAATTGAGTCTTCTGAATTATAAGTCAAATATAAAATTTGGGACATGTCTATTCGCTTCCTCACTTCGGAGGGGCTGGATAATGCCTGAGAACCAACTGTCTGCGATAAATTAATGCCCGTTGTCCTTTCAGGCGCCCCATCCGATTACAACTTTAGGTAGGTCTAGGTACCTGCATAATAGTTACTTTACCTCTTCGTGTACCGACGTGTGGTCCATCGTCTATTCCACTTATCTTGTTTGTTAGATGAATGGCTATTCACAGGAAGTAAGTCGGACGTTCTAGGTATTGAAAGTAAGAGTTGTGATTAAATGTCTTGAAAGTGGCAAGCAGGAATGCCGGTACCGCGACATGTGAACGTAACGGACCACAAACGAGTAGTTTGAAATACGCGTATTATTATGCTACCTAACCTCGAGTTTTTAATGACTTAAATCGTCAGTTCTCGCCAGACCGCCAGCCCACTAAAGATAAAAATAACGTACGTTTCTTAATAGCTCCTTTATGCAAATAAATTGGTAAAATGTGCTGTGACAATTACACTCCGAAAGAATGTAAAGCTATCGAGTGTAATTTAAACGACCATGTGCGCGAGAGGTAACAGAGATAACGAATCTGTAGTAAAGCGTAGGACTAGGAATAGCTGGCTTAATTTAGTTACTCGTCAACGCAAGAATAAATTAGTTCACTCCGTTCTGTGAGTTTTCCCTCCGACGAAACGTCTACTGCACGCACGTGACTTAAACATCTTCAATGAAAGAAGGGTAAGTCGAATACGTGGTGAACACACCTCCTTTCCCATTCCCGAAACGGATTAAAACATCGCGTGAGCGCGATTACGTTATCGAATTAAATAGAAGACCGCAAATGTGCGCTATTTTTGTGGTGAAAGTAAAATCTCCGAAAACAATGCAAGTACGACACAACCCACACATTGCTTTTTTAATTATAAGGTCATAACGTCAATTAGCTTAACTATTAAAAGTCGTCGAACTGACGGGTAGCACCTATATTCATTTACAAATCGAAACGAAATGTTTTTGCATTAATTTGTATATATTGTCATCAGGCCGGATTTGCGATTTAGATGAAAAAACTTAACGAACTGTGACCTATATAGGTACCTACATAATGCCGTTTAGTCAATTGGGAAAACAGGATTAATAGTTTTTTCAAAAAAATCGCTATTTTATCAGAGGTCCGTCCGTCCACCCGTGAAAGTTTGCCGTAACCACTGCACTTATACAAAAAGCGGTTTTTTGCATTGTTTTAAAATTATTCCTCAGGTGTACGTGTACCTACAGTAGTACATATTCTACGATGTGCCCACAAGTTTCTTTGGAAATCTAGGTTTCAGCCCACCGTTATCAGTTTTAACTTCTATTGTCAATATACTCCATCTTTTAAGCAATGTATCAAGCAATTCAAATATTATTACCCGAGTCACTCGCCGAGTCATTACCTATCGTCTTTGAAATTCTTGCGTTTCAAGGTTCGACTTCAGAAGCAGTGTTGGGTATATCCCGAGGCATGGCCTAATATACTCTTATTAGGCCATGTCCCGAGGTATATCCTTTTTACCGCATTACAAAAAAAATGCACGAACTATTTTTTTAATAAACATAGGGAACTCAAAATGTTCATCAGCTCCTAAAATATATTGCGGTAAACCTTGATTACGCCCCGGGCGCCAACGAGCTCTACGCCACTGTTAATGCCCAATAAAATATAAATACATTTTTGGGGTCACTTACGTCCTCGCTGACGTCTCGTCTGTCCGAATGTCTAGTCTTCTCTCGTTTAGGTCGAAATGGTTCAACCAATTACGCTTCATGTGGAATACACAAACAAATGTAATAATAATAATAATAATAATTTTATTGTATAACGATTTACATCTTATTACAAGAGCCTTCATAATCATAAAATGTCGTTACAAAAAAAAATCGTAATTTATAAATTTATAAACAAAAAAAAATTTATGTAATTATATATAAGAGAAAGGATAAATGAACGCAACTTTAATACTTCAATAATAAAATGAAATATTGATTTTACAAGTGATTGTGACAGATCATTTAAAGCAAGCAGTAATTGTTCAAAAGTTTTTATTTTGCTTAAAAATTTATTACGGATAAGTTTAACTATTGGGCAATCAAAAAAGACGTGCGTTAGGTTTTCAGGCATTTGGGAATTACACATTGAGCAATTTTGTAGTGTGTCTATGGTATAAGCAATGCCGTAACAATAGAATCGTAGAAAAAGTTGGCTGCTTAACCTAAGATGTGATATCACACGTATGTATCTGATAGGGATGTTAAAGGTTAGGTATTTCTGGGGTATGTGATATGAGGGTAGGGTGACATTATTGTAAATTATTGAGTAGGAGGAATGGAGCAACCGATCTCTATCAGTCTCTACCAGATATTTATCATATTGATTTAGGATTTCAGTAGTATTGAAATTAGTAGGGTTGTTAGTAATGATATTCCTACCCCCCTCCCCCCACCGACAATAAAAAAATATCTTACAAAAATAATTAATCTGCAATACAATTTTAATTAAGTGCTAATTAGGTGCAATAAGTTGACCCGTGTGGCGCAGTTCAGTTAAATCTGAACTGTGGTGCTAAGGGTCCCTGGTTCGAATCCGGGTTCAGGCATAGATATTTGTAAATGTATAGTGATAGTAGAGTGCTCGTTGCAAAGATAGTCGTCTAGAAATGACTTCCGTGGGGGTTTGGGTGTCACAAGCTGAAATTCACAAAAAATGAAAGGTCATCATATACTGATTCTAAATGTCAAGGCCGTCCAAAATCGGTCCATGCATTAGGGCACAAAACGCGAAAAACGAGTTAAGCACATGTACGGAAAGAAGAAAAAATATCGAATTTTTTCGTATATAAATCAAAATGTTCTTTGTACAGTGAAAGTAATAAGAAATTATCAAACATTTCGAATTACATTGGGTCTTACGGAAGAATTAAACTTCAAACGCGATTATCTCAGTTCGATATCCCTAAAAATTTGACAAATTTTGAGCAACTTTTGCGTTTACATCGTATTATTTAATAAACGGAAGCCTAAATCAAAAAGTTTTACTCTTAAAAAAAGTTTCGCTCATCGTTTATCTTTACATTGCACTGAGAATTATAATTTTATCTGCAATAGTAAGCAAAATATGTAATTAAAAGTAAAACAACGAACTTTTTACTCACTTACAATCGAAGCCGAGATCGAAGCGCTTCGCTCCGGTGAATACAATCCATCTCTACATTTCCCGTAGCTCCATTTCGCTCTTACCATAGGTACGTTCTCGACACGGGTATACCCAAGTTTTGCCAATATAATTGATACAGATAATTATTAATTACATAAATCAATGAATGTGAAAAAGAGACCAAACCATAATTTTAAAAAACAAAAAAAATTCTAGATACAGAGCATCACCTTATCATTGAATTACTTACAACCCCAGATATCTTTTTAAATGTGTCATACTAAATGATATGCACACGCCACACCCTAAACCAGCGTTTCCCAACCGGTGGTTCGCGAACCCCTGGGGGTTCGCGGGCGCTTTCCAAGGCGGAATTAATTTACTTAAGCTAAATTTAGATATTTCAATCGTATAGCCCTAGGGCTATGTATAGCCCTAATGAGTAAATCCATTAAAATCGTTTGCGCATGATTACAGTATTTAATGCGAATGTAAACGAATGAAAAACGCGCTACAATGTATTTCTTTCACTTCTCAACTCAGTGCTAGGTTCATTTGACTTCATGAGAGTTTTAACGTTAACGTTAAAGTGAAAGTGATTAAGAAAACCACTTCAAAGGCAAACTATGGAACAGTGGCTGAAGACAGGGAGTATTATTAGGACCGATAGACAAAGTAAGGAGATACATGAGGATAGTAGTGACATGAAAACAAAGAAGAGAAAGTATGACAATGTTAATGTTAAATTATGAACAAGAATAAGTTGGGGGTTCGCCAGAAAAAAAAATCTAAAGGGGGGTTCGTTGTTAGTAAAAGGTTGGGAACCACTGCCCTAAACTAACACGTAATACTAATGTTGTTTCATTACCTAGGTGCATTAAAAGAATGACGAATAGAAAAAATTTGATTCCATTTATTTACAACCTTTTCGTCAACTGAGCATTCAGAATCACCGTGCTCTCTTAGATGTGATGTCGTCAGTATTTTTGTACGATTTTTGGACCATGCTGGGGGATAACTTACCCTTTATACATTCACTGAGAATTTACATCAGTTAAATTGTTAGGAACTGGCCGCAATGTGGTGAAAATGGGCAAAAGTTGCCAACAACAGAATGCGCACTGAGCCAACACTGTTTAAGGGTGTGTTTTTAAATCAAAATATGGCACCCTGCCCAAAATTGCCCCCCATAATGAATGGTACTTATATTAGTAGAAAAAGCGAACTTTTGCCCATTTTCATCACATTTCGGCCAATTCCTAAGTTCCTAACAATTTAACTGTTCTCAGTGAATGTATAAAGGGTAAGTTATCTCCCAGCATGGTCCAAAAATCGTACAAAAATTCACCGACATCACATCTAAGAGAGCACGGTGATTCTGAATGCTCAGATGACGAAAAGGTTGTACAGAGTGAGCAACAATGATTGAAGCGTGCGTCATCACCGCTTGTTTCTATTAATATCAAAACTACCTTCTTTGTATGGAGTTGTATACGAAAATGACGTTCTGCGCTGTCACAGTGACGTGCGTCTATTCGTATTTCGTATCTTGTATCAAATCAGCATATGCTATGAGCGGCACATTGCCAATTTAGCTGAAGCGGCACGCTTCAATCTTTGTTGCTCACTCTGTACATAAATGGATACAAATTTTTTCTATTTGTCATTCTTTTAATGCACTTACCTAGTAATGAAATCATATTAGTGTTACGTGTTAGTTTAGGATATTATTGTTTTGTTATTAGGTACTCGTACATATCATTTAGTATGACAGAATGAAAAAGATATCTGGGGTTGTAAGTATAAGGCCATGTTCTGTATCTACAATTTTTAGCTTGCTAGCATGTGCTAGGTAGCTATTGCGATAGCCGTTTTTTGAACATTTCAAAATTTCATCAAATGTCGACGTTTTAGACCATTTTAAGCAACTTTTAAAGAATAAAATTTTTTTCCGTCTGTATGTACGTACGTACGTTTGTTGGCAATTTTCTGAGAAAACGGCTCGACGGATTTTGTTGAAATTTTGTATATATGTTTTAGGCATACCGAACAGAAAAATAACGGGCCGGATTTTTGAAAAAAAATTTTGGAGCGCCGTAACGGCATCGAACTTTTTTTTTCAAATAGCAACCTAAAATTTTTATTCTATTATTTGGAAGACCTTATTTTCCTGTGTACAACCTACAAAAAATTGGGCCGGGTTATATTATCAAAAAACGGAGAAAAAAATTGTCAAAGTCAAAAAATTGTGTTGCATATGTGCAAAACGCAACGATCTTGTTTCTGAAGCAATTTAAACGAAATTTCTATGGTAAGTCCCTTTAATAAAAGCAAACAAAATTCATGCGCAAAAATCGTGTTGCGCATGCGCAGAAATGCAATTTTCTTATTTATGGAACAATTAAAACGAAATTTGGATGGTAGGTCCTCCTAATAAAAGAAAACAAAATGCATGCGCAAAAAATCGTGTTGCGCATGTGCAACATCCAACTTTCTTATTTATGGAGCAATTTTAACGAAAATTGGATGGTAGGTCCCTCTAATA